TGGAACCAATGTCAACGATGAAAATCCTACGAGAATAAACTTTCAAAAGAAAAGAGAAATAATGAAACAAGAAATAAAATCTGAGGTACTTTTATGAATTTCATGAGAATGTTATTGTTGGTTGGTCTATCTGAGATATCTTTAGTTGATCAACTCATCTTAATGTATTGAGATGATGACTGAATATCAAGTGAACCTCGAATAATGAAAGGATTCACACTAGGAGCTTCTGTTCCACTGATCGACAATCTGCCAATGAAGTGCTTAGCTGAAAACCCAGAAGGTTGATTATTTTAATCGAAATTCATACAGCAAATACGTGCGTGTTCGTGAATCGGGCGGTAAGCCGCATCTATTAGGCAATCGCTGACTGCCCAAACCTCGTTGGGTGGAGCACAGTTCAAACAAGCAGTCTACTGGTTAGAATTCAACTATGTTCAACTGACCACTCATCCATTTATGCATGGCTTGTATTTCGGACGGAAATAATTGCATGTTGACTGCAATCAATGAATGCGCATTATCTCATTTCTTGTGCTTGAAATTAGTTGTTTTATCTTTACTGATAATGGTGCGTTTTTGTCAGGCCATTTGGTTGTGTATACAGATAAATCAAATCACCTGGAATATACAAACGACAAGTGCCAGACAATGTGTTGTGTTTTGCGACCTTGCAGTGCACAGCGGAATCTTGTTTGGATTGAATTTGCTAGACTGGGCAAGTATATACGGCACCGGTCACATGCGAAGTCAGTGTTACGACTGATTACACGAAACCACGTGGCACAGCCAATCACAACCAGACAGTGGTTATAACAGATTGGAAACTTGGTTAACTCAGAGGAATAGCGGTTAGTACTAATTGAGTTAGCCGTAAATGACTGTTTATAAAAAAGATTTTTATTTCCAACGAAAAAACTCACAATCCCCGGGATATTGTTTAAAAAAAACAAGCAGAACTCGTTTACAACTATTTGTAAGTGCATACCCACTGATATACACGTGACAGAAACAAGAAACTTTAATGTCTTTCAGTTTGGATTCTGAGATCTCAATTAGTTTGTTAATTGTTCAACTCCTGGGTTGTGTATATGACATTTTTCCAACATCACCTTTAAATTAAGTTGCGATTGCCTTCAAATAGATTGAATAATAAACTACCCCATCAAATGTCATATTGATCTAAATTACAACACACACCTGGACTCAATGTATGAGAGCTTCCATCGCAAACGGACTGTTCAGGTAGAAATAGGTGGGAATGGGTTCGAACACCAGACCTATCACCTGAAAGTCGAATGTTCAGGCCAATGAACTAAGTTTCTGTTAGTTCATGGGATCAACTGATAAAAATACGCTGATTATAGAAAAGTTGAAAGTATCCAGGTTTCAGGGTAATTACCTAGGGTCCAAAGATTCCGTATCACGGTTTGTTATAAAGAATATTCCCATGTAGCTGATTGTATAATGTGATATCATCTGTGCGCAGGACTCAATGACTCAGATTATTTAGTAGCATCATTCGCAAAGTGATGAACTCAGATTTCTCAAGATATCCTTGAACAAATTTTTAGTCATGATGTTTATGTTCACCAACGAAAACGCATTAAACGTTTCTGCCTACATCTGACTTCACAAAAATAAAACTTTGTGTGTGAAGCGATATGCCTGCTAACACTGAGCTCAGTTTTGAGCCAAATATTTCCCTTCTATAAACAGAACCACCTGAGATAGCAGTGGTTTAGAAGGCTATTACTATTGATACGTTTCAGCTGCTCTGGTGTGCAACACAACCGCGTTCTCATATGGCATGAGAAGTACTGAATAGGCAGCCAGTGTGAGTAAGATGAACGAATAGTGAAGCATAACGAATCTACATATAAGTTGAGCAAAATTCTTGGTGATTAAAGTGAAATTAAGGTCTGGTCAGCATACTGGTCTCGTAGTTCAGTTGGTAGAGCGCCGCCCCGGTAACTCCAAAGCCTCTGTTTTGAGTTCTGTCAGGACCCAGACTTTTCACTAAACAATTTTCCATTAAATTGGTCAGATACAACTTCTGAACATCAAAAACTTGTATAGGATGTTTAACTTACCAGTAACCCTATTTTTACAATTAAAATAAGGGTTACCACATTCCTAATAAACACAATCAAGTGATTAAGTTTTTTCCAGCATCCGATTTCGATAAAACTGTTTGATTTCGTAAAGTTTACTGGACAGATTTCATATTTCAACTTGAACTGCGAATTCAATTGACAACACGTGATTGGATATTGAATATCTGTAAAAATTTGAACATTTAGCCAGTTAGTCGGTGTTAAAATCAATGACTTTGAAATATTTTCTATTATTTATAAATATAGATATTCTACTAACAAGATGATCGAACACTAAAGAGATCCATATACAGGAAACCAATATAAATTGGACAATCGGTGGACTTCTGTAGTTGAGTTCCAAGAACCAGAAACTGTTATCTTATTCGCTCTCTGTTTTAATGACGCCAAAATACTCATTTTGCAGACAGCATAGAACAGGAAATAAGTTTCTTGAAATCTACCTTTTGAAACGAATTCTCATTGCTTTTCATTGATAAAAATATGAAACCCAAGAACACCTTAGTAATCCCTAGCACCGTCTCGTATTAAGATTTGTTACCTGGAAAAGGTTAGAGGGAGAAAAGTGAGAAATCTTTTGTCTGTTAGGTGATAGAGAAGGCTGGGTCACATTCATTTGATGTTGCATATCACATAAGTGACGAGCTCATGCACCGCTGGCTACGGACAAACGGGTGAGACGTACACTTTTCAGCATTTGCCTGGCAATCTTGGTAAGAAACCGTATCTCCCATCTTCCTGTGTACTTGTTTCCACATGTACATGTGAGTCGATAAATACAGTTTAAGCTATAAAGACTTGGAAATTCGTCTAATTAAGATTGTGCGTTTCCATTTGTTTTTTCTTCCTTAGTATCTGATTGGTTATATGTTATCGATATTTTGTAGTTTGTTTATTTGTCAACCATCATTAAGAATATTCCGCATTATAAACCTTCAATGTCTCCAACATATGTGCTCTTGAGATTCTGACCAGCATCCTGTCTGTTGTACACTTGAACTTTGAACCAATAGGCAATCAAGAATAAGCTGGACCTTGCTTGATAGTACATCTGTCTGCGAAACTGCAGAATATATTCAAATATTTATACTTGTTCATATGACAATCTATTCCATGAAATGCCAACAGTTCTGAAATTGATTAGGAACGTTAGCTTTCCACTAAGGTTTTGAAACGTATTCACTGTTTCATAACAGGCTTGAACAGATTTTTGACGATCGTAACAACCAACTATGATGGTCAACCAGCTAATTATTTACAAACTTCATAATTCATATTAACATTCCTTACACCTGATTAGTCTTTCAACCGATCAACTTTAGTTTCAGTAGAGTTTCCGTTGAAAATCGTTAACTGAGATCACAAGACGTGATCTTCAACACCGAGGGTTAGTAAGTATTAAAATATACTGCTGAATAACATGAGTATTTAGAAACCACTCATAATGATCTGTAGATTTCGCTTGTTAGCAATAGCGATTCGCCTTTTCGAACTAAAGTTTTCGGGTGCATAACTGATGAGCTTGCTTTCAAATGAATGGAATGACATTTAGATGTTTAGATCACATTGATCAGTCTGACGACGTTTACAGATCACAGTGAGTAGTTTCCAAGTACTCAGGTTATCTATCAGTAACTTACATCTCTGATGAAGTATTTGTGATTAACACCAGCAGTTAAGCCTGACAGCAGTCAACAGTCCTCTATCTGTTGATCAGTTAACACGAAGATATCATTGTTAGAACGTTGAACTTGAGCTTATCAAAACAATAAATAAGTACAACTAGGTTGGTTGTGGCTAGCAGGTCGAACAATTCGATCCAACAGGACAACGGAGAATAACAACTATGTCAATAAATAGTAATAAATACGTAGCCTAAAGTTGTCAGAGAATATTCTTTCCAAGCCAGTCACAGTGCACCAACCATTTGAATCGTTACCTCATCGCAAAGTTTATGTCCATTACTTATCTGATTAGATGATGCCTCAAAATGTATTTTTCGTTACGGAACCTAACAAAGAAAGCACATTTAGTCAGTAAAAAGCGAAAAGAGGTTACAGGGAAAATAATTATCTTTCGGATGACCCATTGTCACAGTTGTATATTTTTTAATACATAGGTAAGATGACAGAATATTCCAGACAACTTTACATGAAAAGGTGAAATCTAATCGATAAATGTATGGAAAGAATGAAATAATATTACGTAACACAAGATGCATTGAGCCTCGTGAACGTTTATTTAAAAGTTCCCTTGTTCTTGTAGAGTTGAGTTCATTGTTTGTACTATGTGCTCGCGAACTTAACCCAGAATCGTTGCTGAAAAGGGAGCAGAAAATTGTCTTCAGTTCCATAGCTGAACACCCCCTAGGCTCTGGGCGTCTTCTGGAAACCTAGCTTAAGGTTCTCTACAAAGTGTGCCCAAACATTTTAGAAGGGGTGAGGATTAGATAATTTATACATAACCGAAGTACTGGTGATCCACAGCCTAAAACCTGATTTGTGTATTCAGAAGAAACTGCTTTAAATACTTTTTCTACCATGGATTTAAACAAATACAGTACACCTTTGTTTGTGTTTTATCCTTACGTTTAACTGATGAATTTACTTTTACCAGACGCTAAATCTTACTGTTCATTGTCTCTAATAAGAACTGGTAGGACAACGTGTCATATTCCGTAATATTATTTCATTTTCTCCATGCATCGATCAACTAATTTTAACTTTTGAGTAGAAGATTTACCAGAGTATTGCACTTCATACTTTGATATAATGAATGAAAATGAATTTCTCAGAGATATTTATCTTCACTGTAACCTCCTTTTACTTTACAATAATGAAAATTCTTGTGTGGCCGAAGCTCACCTGTAAGATTGAAAAGAAACTATGCCATTCGCATAGGTAAGCTTTCGAGATTTCCAGACCAGACTACTAAGAAACAAACAGCTTTAATGAACGTTGTCAACATATTCTCACATCTTAACGCGCTAAACTGCGTAACTAGTTTTTTGAGTGACATTACTGTAAACCTACCTGTGATTCATTTTCCTCTTTACTGATAGTCCGGTAGAGCATCAGAGTATCAGAAATTTTTTTGGTTCGGTGTAGCAGCTCTATCTTGAACATTTAACCAGGTAAATGCTGGAAAGAACTTCAGTGTCACATTTACAGTTTGTACGAACTGTGTGGAAGGTGAATGCATAAAGTATTCTTTAAATTGCAGAAGTCATCTCAATTTGTCTCCTGAAGACTGAACTCCACTTTAAAAATGGTCTGTGCAGTCACTTAAAAATCTTGTCTTTCACCCCGTTACTAACATATTACACATTCTCACGTCTTCCACTTGTAAAATTCCCATTTTTTACCACCCTTATTAATTCTTTTAACCATATTTCATCATTCATACTGGTTACTTAATGCTGTTCCAGTCCTATTGAGTATTCTTATTATTGCATTTTTAGACATTGCGAAATTCCCCTTCTCCTGTCTATCTTCTGGTTTGTGTCCTAAATTGAATTCTGTCAAGAAAAAAACTTATGTAAAATTCCTTTTCTTTTATCACAAAAACTGGGATGACATAAATAAAAAGACTCTTCACTGAAAGCTGCTTTCCTTGGTAGCAGCTAGCAGTGGAGTTCAACCTGTATGTTTACTTCAGTTTAAATCCAATCCATGTGATGTTTCTAAATCTCATGGTGTTTGTGCTTCCAGGACGACTCTAGTTGTTTTCGCAAGGGGAAAGCTAAATCTCTTTAGAGATTAACATTTCAGTTGATAATTTTTACAAACATTTGAATGCTTTTATCCCCTTGCTTACCTGCATAGCTCATATCCTGATACACTTCACTTTGACTAAATCGAGAGGATGAATTGAAATCCACACCACCATATAATCCACAACAAGAAAGCTAAAATGATTGAAAAAACAAAAACCTTCATGATATATTATATAGGTAAATACTATGCAACAGATGAATGGTTTGGTAAATTATTGACATTTTACATCGGTTGGTCACCAACTTCATGCTGTCTACTCCGAATTGCTGATCGAATTCTATTGATGACTTGACAGTGTGATCACCAGGCTAGTAAGTTCAACATTGTGATGCACTTTAGTAGATGTTGGTTGGATGGAGGCAATGTCAGGCAGCCCTGGATCTAGGTTCTGCGCTTGTTGGCACTCATCAGCAGGGAGTTTCTGCAACCTCGGTGGAACTGACACCCCGCCTGAACTCGAACATGTGTCACACAATGTTGCAGTCAGCAACGTACCACTGGTCTGTGACATAAAACAATCTCATGTATTAACCAAATAACACGCTTTGTCGAATCGTACTCATAATTACCTTACAGTTAGTATGAACACTTTATCTGTAGTAGGTCTGTAGTAGGTATGCAAGTATATTGCTGATGAGACCAGCGCAAGATGGGTGAAATAACTATGTCACACCCAGACCACTCTTATCTGGCAGACGAAATCGGCGGATTAGCATGGTCTGAGCGCTATACTGTCATTTAATCATTTGTCACTGGGTACGTCGGTCACGTACTCAGAAAAGTTCAACCTACAGAGTAGATAAGTTGTTTAGGTCAACTGCATATCTTGATATAAGAGTAAAAATTGTGCACTGTGGTAGAATGTAATTCCATTTTTATTGATTTATTAGATTTATCACACAGTGTAACAGTATTGTTTACTGGATCACGTTTTGGACATAATTTATTGTCCATAGTCATATCATCTTGACATGACTATCCGTATTAGCGATTTCCAACTGTCTATTACATGGCCAGATATTACACAATTATTCCTTAAATGAGATATCTCGAATAACTGCCGCGTAAATATACTTAAAAAACCTGTCTTACAAAGTGACCAGGTACTAACTTGCGCGAATTATGTTCTTGACAGTTCAGTGTCAACCAAATATAGGTTTACATAACACTTGGTGTTTCTCCTCAGCCATATAAATATTTTCCTGATGATATCTACTCTTACAGATTTACGCATCAATGAGAATTTGTCAGCTACCGCTAGTTAAACTGACTTATGATGACTAATAAGTTTTTGTACCCACAACCTTGTTAAATACAGAAGTAGTTTGTTGGTTTAGGCATTGGACTTTCAAAACGTTAACCATGAATTGGAATCCCACTTCGACAAATCCAACCTAAACAACCAAGTGGTTTCATAAGTTCTCAAATGTTGAGTTTGCCTCGTAGCTTACTACACAGACATTTGAGCTAAGCTCCACAAAGTTTGTATTGCAGATTTCTTAGTGTCAATATCATACAGAGATTCTGAAAGGCGAGGCTTGAAATCTTACTCTGAGAACAAATTATCCTCTTAACGACACCTGAATAAGCCTTTCCGCAGCGTTTCTTACTGATGTTTACCTGAAAATTAATGCAAGTTGACTAAGAAAGTTTCATTATTCTACAGTCAAAGGATTTTTGCAAGGCCTAAACGTCAATAATTGAATATATCTGCATCCCAACATTGTGCACAGAATGAAAATATGTTTTGTTCATACTTCACTGGACCACTGAATACTGCTACAGATCACAAAAATGTCGACATCAATCTTTGATGAAAACTTTTTGGAAATCGTTTGACTGCCCGGAAGCCTCCTCAGTGAATAACGTCCTTTTGCTTATATGTGAATTTCTTTCGGTAGAACTTCTCAAAGTTCTGACGTGATACCATAACCTGTGGGTTATGAGGACAGTTACGATCCCATGGAGGTGGATGGCATTTGTGAAATGATTCCAAGCGACAAAAGTTGGATTACACTAGTGACTGAATTTCAATTTATTCACTGAATGGTAACGTACACATTGTGGGGGCTGACGACACTGGGTTCGATCCACGAAAAGTTGTCAACTTAAATTATTGAGAAAATCAAAACTGTGGCGTAACAACAGTCCAGCACTTCTCGCTTTTTAGAGTTTCTTTGACTGATCCTCGTTTTTGATGAAATCGAACATTTCGATATTATCCCAATATTGTTACAGGTCGCATCAAGTGATGGATCCCAGTCATACATTTATTAGAATTCGAATAGCGACCTTGAAATGCTGGACAAGATGAGCGGTACAAATAAATGAAGGTGCACTAGCGTAATGACGGTTGTTGGAAAATTCTTTGTTGAACTTGCAGCAGGTTTTCAGTTAACGACGTTTTGTCCAAGTGATGATTTCGACTGAAATGAAAGCAACTTTGAGTACCACCAGCTTTAACTCATTTCTTCCCATGCAATGAGTACATTTTAAGTAAATATAGAGCTGGTGCAAAAACACAATTCACTCAAGATAAGAAACCTTTTTTTTACAGAAAAATTTCTATTGTATCGTATAAGCTTTATTAGGAGATAATTTTTTCCAAATTAGCTCTTACTCGTCAGAAACTACCAATTTCCACAGTATTCATGGTGATAGAAACATTCTTGTTCAAGGCTTTAGAGTTGATCAAAGTCTCTTGATTATATTACAGTTTACACAATGTTGATCAGTCTCATGACTCGGCGTCGTTAAATATTTTGTTTAACCTTGAAGCTTACACCCAATCCAATTAGAATATTGAATGTATGCTTCGTTGCTTTCAACACTAAATACAGAATACTGCATCTTGGTAGTTGTAATCGATGATGGCTACCAGGGGAATTCAGAATGCGTGTGTCATCTTATTTGGAACTGACTTGGCGAACTGATGTGCCTGCTGGCTCCCAGTGACTGATGTAACTCTCATGTAAACTCAAACCAAGAGCCCATGGAATCGAATGATAGAGATGTTTATCCACTAGGATACTGAATCACGACATAGGTTTAAGTCGAAGTCAGAAAAGGATCACTCACCAGGTGGCAGGTACACCTAGTTGATGATCTAGGACGAAATCCGTATCCTTTAATTCACTGCTAGATATTACCCATCAATAATATCAAATGGAATTACTGGCAGTAACCCGGCATCTCATCCTCATGGAAGTCCGAATACCTAAGGTGGCCTATCATTTCAATCCAAACAACGATGGATAAATACAAGCGGTAACATCAGAATACTAGCGTTGAACTGTACATCTTATAGGCACAATTAACTTCTAGAAAGACAATTTTGAATGATCATCAAAATGTCAAACAAATTATGACTTATGGTCAAAATTTGATGAATTATATGTCCTTGAAATATGTATTTTAGATAAATTGGGCAAAGTTTTAATTGACACATCTTTTCTCTTCATGTCACCTATGCGATAAGTTCGGAAGTGATATGAAAGAATAAAAGTCTTCCTTAGGTGGTGTTACGTAGCTACAAGAAGGCAGCCAATAGGGGAGTTTTCAAGTCGTGATTAGATCATGTTCAGGTCATGATTTATGCATGAGCTGACATGAGGAACTGATTGGAGAAATTCGACCTCATACAAGAAATCTGATTGGTCCATTTATGGGGCTTCACTTTCTGAGAGTTTTGTAACTTCATATATGCCAAGTATTTGTCTCATAAAAGTTGTTGTCGCTGTTCTTCAGTAACAGGTCGTCTTTGTCTTCTGTTTTTTTCCGCGGCTCAGTGAAGCAGAAGGTACTGAGGAAGGTCAGTCGTAAAGGCATTCGGTTGAGGTGTGTATTGAGTCTCAGTATCATTATACTCACGCGCGCAACCCCACCACTCGGTCACAACAGGTGGTATTCATCATGCATTGACATCGCTTGCAGAACTACTGATAACCTGTGAGTACTAAATGTCAGTTTTGTCTTGGTATGAAACTCGCCAGCAGTAGGCACACCTAACCCCACTTAGCATGGAACCCAGGACCATGAGATTTCCTGATATGTAAGTTGCCTTAAAGTCAATAGATCTTTATTTTCTTACTTCTGTCGATCGGTGATTTACCGTGAACATTATCAAATGTCATCGGTGAGTATTTGTCTTCATATCGAACTTGATCGACCCTAGAATTCACTAGTCATTATTAGAACATCAAAAACTTCCTCTTAAATTGTGCTATAATGAGCAGTCATTATATCAATTTGTTATCTTAGGTCAAACATGCACAAAAGATATTCTGAGCAATACTTACTAAAGGCATTAAAGTTGCTAAAATTATACTATCAGCTTCACTAGAATGCACAGAATGATAATTCCTGACTAGTACATTCAGTTGATTTTCAATTGGAAGTGTTACCTTAATAAAGAAAGATAGGAAGTTTTAAAAAGATAACATAAACTGAAAATTGTATCAGAAATATTTCATAATGGCTGATAGGAACTGTATGCATAAATCTAAATGAAAACAAAAATGTTTCAACACAGAAACAGAAACGAATTGATTGACTTCTGTAGGTAAAGGAGCTCCTATGCGGATGCCTCGATATTGGCTGAATATTCAATGTTGCGACTGACTTGGTTTCGGTCAGCAGGTGAATTCAGGACTCGTTCCATCCTATTTGGGACCTGTCAGCTAGATGTGCCTGCCAAGACTTGAACCAAAAACCTGTCACTTCAAACTCCAAAGTGTTGCAAGTGTCAGTAAATAATAATAACTGATCCGTGCTGCACAACAGGTGTCTCTCATGCTCCATTGACCTAGTGGGGTTTACTTGCTGACCATTTCCGTATGTGTTAGAAGTACTAGTTGATTAAGAAAAAAATCATGATCGCTCAAAACATATTGATCTAAGTCAGATGGAGATCATCAATAATTTTTCAAGCAGTGGTGTAACTGGTGAAAAAGCAAGCACTTTAAGGCCTTTTTGGTTGAGTTAAACTAGACTTCAGGTACAGAGAACTTTACGAGCAATAAACAAGAGTGGAGATGGTAAGTGACAGCGTTAAACGTGGGCCAATAACATCAAGTTCATTCACTTCCCAGTAAATGCACTGTTGGCTCATCTTATCATATTCATCGGAAAAATATTGGAAAATTCTTTCAGTCTTCAAAACATAGGTGTAAGAAACAGATACGCTGATAGATTGCGTCTATGAATATTAACTATAAGGTACAATAAATTCCCATGTGCATAAGAAAAGGAATGTTAGAGTTTATAAACTAGATGCTTATAGCTAACAATAGATGATAAAATCGTAGAGTTTACAATTCAGTATAAAACCAGTAGGAAACTTGAGATGCTAACTTACTTGAAATTTAAGTAAAATTTAAGCTAAGAGCATTTCAATTACTGTACAGAATCTAACACTAACTATAACTCAAGATGAACTGCTCACTCCTGAAGAACGAAATCAATTCATCATTATTCCATCGTTTAGTATGATGCGCCTGAAGAAAGCTTAGAAATATTGTGTTACCAAGTTTTAAATGTATGTGGATTTTATTCTCATGGTAGTATTCATCACGGAGAAACACTGAAAACCTGTGAGTACTGAAGAGCTGTTTCGTCCCACCACGAGACTCCTCAGCAGTACGCAACCAGAACCCCGTGTCAACAGGGATCCTATTCCAGAGCCTCAGGTCTCACAAAGAATGCGTTAGCCATTCAATCACTGGCATGGTGACTATCCATCAAGATCTCTAGCTGGCATTTGCTTCATTTCCGACTACTTGACTTTACAGGTCACGGCTTCTCATCAGAACTTTGAAATATCCCCCTGAAAACATCTCACTAGTGAGTACTATACATACGAAGTACTTTCATAATATCTTTATTCTTTGCTTGAGATAGTTTTCTGTACGAGCACTCACCTGATTGGTTAATTAAGGTTTAACCAAACGTGATTAACTGTCACCAAATTTAGGGAAACTATGAACTCCAGGGCTTTCGAAGCTATATCTTAACAGTGAATATCTACCTTCTAAACCACAGCGTTGATTTCTTATGCATGTGGGAATGCTTGCTACGTAATGGTAGTTCTGTATGACCTCTCATATAATTGGCCAATTAAGGTTTGCCAAAACTCGAATTTGATTAGTCGTCAATAAAATTTTTATTGGAAACTTTCAAATGGTTTAATCAGATGGAAATCCAGCCACTATTTCTGACATCAGAGACTCGATTTCATTAGTTAGTTGATAAATAAATGCAGCGAATATATTATCATAAATCTTTGTTTATTCACATTTGTAAGCCAAGTTTCGACCAGCTGAAAACATGACCAAGATATGATGAAACTAATTTTCGCATTTAGGCATAAGAGTATCAGTAAATTGAGTTTCTACAACGACAGAAACCATACGATAAATATTTTAAGCAAATAAAGTCATCACTTCATTTTCGTTAGACAAACTTTCTCATCCAAAACTTCATCTTTCTGCATGCATCATGTGTAAAAGATATCTTTCCAGACTTCGTTGAAAAAATCTCAGTAATCAAGCAGGAAACGAAAGGCATTTGACGATAAAGGGAAATATATGAGATCCTTTATTTTGTTTAGGGTTTGATTTATTCATTCAGTGTGTCACTATCTATTGGAAATATCAATATTTTATTTCTAGTAAGCAAAGACTCAAGTAAAAAAAATAATCTTAAAATTCTGTGCTATAGTTTAGCAAATTTTATTCCCGCATAGTTTAAGAACATATCCTAATCATCCTATTTTGTAGTAGGAGAACAGTAAAATTAAATAATCGTAACTGAAAACAAGATAGGACTTCATGAGGAACAGTCTATTAAGGAAATTTTGAACTTTGGACCATTCGACTCTCACGCATTGACTGAGTGGTGATATATTCACCGTATGATCTGAAGGTCGTGCCTTCCATATCATATGAGATCTTCGTTGTATATTGCTGAAGTTTCTGGAATGGTCTCAAAACAACTGTTCAAAACTGTCATGTAATAAAAATTTATTCGAATTCCATTACCAACTTTAAATAGTTAATTTCACACAAACTTAAATCTACCAAAGTATAGTTAACTGGCTCATTTCTTAAGCATTTTTATATTGAACTGTCAGCATACATAAGACTGAGCAGTCATCAGTCCCGGATTACCGAAAGTCTTCCATTCTTCCTATCTTTTCTGAGAGGATTTCGTCCAGATGTGAAAATCCAGTCTCCACCCAAGATGTCTGCTATTAATGACATGATTTGTGTACAGTACTGGAGGTTTTCCTGATGAACTCTGAGAGAACAACTGAAGACTACAAAAACTGCAATATGGACTTATTTACAGGAACAGAAAGGTGTCGAGATGTCAGGACGTTGAAAATCTCACAAGTAGATTTTTTTGTTTCTTATTTTAGCTCCTTTTAAATGCCCTATGGTTTCCTTTGATTTTCGACACCGATGATGTAGTTTGTATGGTAGTGGCTAGCAGTGAAATCGAGGTACATGCATTTCGTTCTGTCTAAGGCTCGTCAGCAGTATTCAGTACACCAGTGAGTGATGGCGCTTCCACTGAGATCCTAACGCCAGACCTATGGCTGATTTGACCAGAGCACTATACACTAGGCTACTGGGTCAAGATCAATTTTTATACACTGACATTTGCAGTTTCTTTTTAGTATAGTTATCAGCGAGACATTACATATATCAATAAATACATATATCATATCTTTCATATTCGTTAGTCATCTATTTGGAGAAAAATTGTATTGAATAACCAAACCACCAGATTATGTATTTCGATTGTCAAGGAACTACCCCACCAGTCACTGGTGACCAGATTACGCAGTCAATATATGAAAGTCTTCGGTTAGTTGTCAAGAGCACTTGTTAAGTTGCTTCTCTTTAACTAACCTCATGAACAGTGCATAAAATAAAGAAGAAACATTCCCTATAATTCTACCTAAAATAAGATCTACAAGTTCATCTGAAGTTGTGATGACACTTTGATGGGTAGCAATAACAGAATGATCCAATGCCTTCAGAAAAAAGTTTGGATTAATCCCACCCATACACACACACACTTATGCATTCAATTCATTATATAATGGATGTTGTCCTTTGTCTACTTTGTAATACTTCACATATCATAGTAAGTATTTATTGATATTTCCTCTTACTTCATATAACCACAGAATATTGACCGAAGGTTAGACGAAAACTCACATCACTGCCGAACTCGAAGCAGCGATTCCCAAGTTACAGGCTAAGCACTTTACCAGCCAAGCTCCAAGTTGCTGAACGAACCTTAACTTCACCTCACCTCAAACTCTTCTGAGACCCAGCTTCTCGTTTCATCAACAACCATCGACCAGTATCAGTAACACCAATCTGCCAAACTGCAGCTATCCCCAATAATCTCACTAAGTATAGTTTATGGAGCGTGGTTTTTATTACCGATAAACATTAGTTGGGACACCAGTAAAGTCTAGGAGCACTTGAAAGTCAAATGCCTTATTGTTAATAAGGTGGTCGTGAAACCTGGAAGTTCTAGATTCTATATCTTACTGAGACGTGGGTGTGCACTGTCGAGGAATTACACACTGCGATGAAACAGCCGCCTAATACAGCTATATGTTCTATGGTTCTGAAACCAAATTCAATCCACGATAAGAAAGAGACTATTTTCAAATCAATAAATCCCTACGAAATACCAATTGAATGTGTTATTGTCTGTAATAGCCATCGCACAAGGAAAGGCTATGGTTATTCAGTAGGCTATCATGTTTAAGGAGACCGGTTTTGGACTCGATTCATATTGGGTACAAAGTCATTCGATGGAAGCAGGTGCATCCAGTTGACGAATATCAATTAGGATGGAAGGATCTTCCTGAATGCCACTTCTGGCAACTATCCAGCATTAATATCAAATTTGAAATATGGCTAATGATGAGGCATCCGCGAAGGAGCCTATATGTCAATAGAGATCGATCAATTCGGTCCAATCCACGTCAGGATAATACCTGTCTGACAAGAAGAGGCTATCGTTACCCAGTGACCTAGTGGATAATGCTCTAGCATTTGAAGTAATCGGCCCCGTGTTTGTGTTTAAGCAGGAACACTATCGTCCACTGTGGGAGGTAGATGCATACGTCTAACAAGTCACAAATAAGACGAAACGCGCATCCTGAGTTCCACCGCTAGCCACGGTCTATCGTTACAATCAATTAAACAATCCATCATTTTATGCCATGTCGATTGCTACGCCATTGTGGGGAAACTGAGAATTGATATCATCCAGCAACGTTCTCCTTCCTAATCCCTCATCTAAAGAAGAAAGTTTACAGAAGACTTCCTTTTTGTCGCTACAACACAACCACTCCTGAACTTAATTACTGAGGTTCGCCGTTTGAGCAAAAACAATATAATTGGTGATGACTGGAGGTAAAATGAAAACCTGAACTGTCACAGGACTCGAACTAGCGACATCTGGTTAAC